AAACATACGTTCTCCTATAACCTCCTTTAAAATTAATGCGAAGTTGCAAAAAAGTCAATTATCGCAATAATAATCACTAAAATAGTGAAACAATTTAATTGAAAAATTAACTAGTCTATTTTATAATATAATATTAGTAGTGAGTATAAATATATGTATTCTGTATTTAAAAAAAATCATAGAGACACCCTTCTGTCAGCCATGATGTTAGTGACAAAGATGTATTATCTCTTACTTCGGTAGAAGAAAACAATTTCTATTGTCAATAGAAAAGATATTAATCTAGAAGAAGGAAGTATCGCAGGATTTACTCAAGAAAAGTTATTAGAGGTGTATATCATCTCCAAGATGATTCATTGTTATAATGACGAAAAGTTATCTGAGGAAGTGTGCAAAACTAGGGATGAGCTTTTTAAAGAAGGTTATCGTGTTACTTCATTTTATTACGTTAATCGAAGAAATGCTGATCTCATTTTAAAGAAAGCACAAGGAATACTATAGCTTATTGCGGAACTCGAAGCTTCAGCGATTTAACAACTGATGTTAATATATGCCAACCGCTCCTTCGTTTTTTAGTTGATGAACATGGAAAAGTATATGGAAGAGTGCATAGAGGTTTTTACAACGTACTTCAAGACTCTTTTGACGAACTTGAATCTGATCTTGAACATTATGCTAAAGCATAAAATCTAGAGATTAGGGATCTCAAAATTAATCTTACTGTTCGTAGTATGGGATGAGTTCTTGCAAAAATGGCTGCTTTATGTCTCAATAAAACAAAAGATGCACAAGATATACATGTTGCAACTTTTTGTGATCCGCGAGTTTTTTACGAAGATGCCAGAGAAGCTCATAATGAAGTTCTTAAGAAGAGAACATAAGAACAAATCAGCACTGCGAGATATGAGCCATCATTGATAACTGATTCTCTTGACTATGCTCACATAGGTACACATAAGGGTAGAAAAATAAAACCATGCTATACATAAAAAGGCATTAAGGGACTGTAAGAGTATTATCTCTGACCAAAATAATACCTCTCTTTTTTATTATCTAGTTCAAGGGTTAAAGACTCTTAACAGTATGATTTAGGTAACATTCAGAGCATAATTGTGAGTTACTTAGGAAGTGTTCATACTGGGGAGAAGTAACACAAGGGGGGCCATTCTCTTGAGAAAGCTAAAAAACAGCCTAATACAGTTGATAGTCAAGTACATACACATCCTAATACATGGATCGATCTTAATCAAATCAATAAAGTTGCTGAGGCAAGTAGAGGTTTATAACATCT